TAAAGCTTGCCAAGTGGTCTGTTCTGCTCCAAGCTCCTTAAAATTCTGTCAGGCCATATCTAGTCTCAGTTCAAGCTATAATTCCAGCTCAGTTAGTTCTAGCAACCCTGCAACCCTGGCCCTGCAAACCATGTGATCCAGCAAAATTCATCACTAAATATGTACCTTTAGCTGCTGGTGCAGCTAAAAATTGTTACAATTTTTTGCACACAAGTTACAGAATAGGTTGTGTGAATTTCTGCCACTTTGCTACATTGAAAATCTTATCACCTGCTAAAAGTGTTAATTTCAGACCAGGTTCATTGTATATAGAAAGTAAAATTTTGTTAGTCTTGTAAAAGTCTTAGCAAGTTAATAAAAGCTAATTTTTAGTCCATTTACAATAATACTGAGACTTATAGTTCAAGTTCTATATAGTTAAAACTATGGATATGCAAACTTTCCAGTAACACCTATTTCTCTGGTGTTATATTTGACCTTCCACTGCCTCTCTGTGTCCTAAGCTCGATGGCTTCAGTCTGAGACAGGGGCTGGTATCATGAGTCCTTTACCAGGAAGAGCAAGATGTCGATGTTGGTTGGTTTTTTGTTGGGATCTGCTTGGAGTCATTTTTACATATTTATTAACACACTCATTCACTGGTCTGCAAGTTGATGTTGCATCCAAATTTACTGTCTATGGTGTGTTTTACCTAAGTCAGTTATGTCTTTGTTACCCCTAAAACTGTTTTTACAAAGCTCTCAAGGCTGCATTTGGGTAACTGAACACTGGCGAGTTGCTTGTAGCACCAGGGCCTCCCACACCATCCTGTGCCAGCGCTCTGCTACCATCTCATGTCTTTACTCCTCTGCTTGGCATTTTATTCTAAGCTCAGAGATAATTAATTCTGTACATAATACCTATACTTGTCATTGCTTTCTATTAGTTACAAAAAATATATGTAGCGTTACTAAACCATGCAATTATGCAAAATTATACAAAAGCAAAATAGGTACTAGTCACCTGGTCATTAGATAATTGCTGTCACTTGCAAAACCAAATCTCTAGGCAGGCCAAGACAAGTCCAGAGAAAGCCTGACGAGTCCTGAGGCCTGAGGTGCTGACTTGACACAAAGGCTGCGGCCTCTTACGAGAAACAGCAACAGCATTTTTACTGAGCCACAAAACTGCATGTTCTAAACTTCCATCTCCAGCCTGTTTCAGTGTAAGTTTATAGGCAATGCTGTAAAGCTTCAACTCCACTCTAAACCTGTGGGATGCTGCCTGTCCCAGCTGTAGCTCTAGGCTGGAGACCTTGGACACCCAAACCTAAAAGCCCATCCCCAGAGCTACCACCTTCAAATCAAACCTCAGCTCTTTGTTATCTGGGACCCAGTCTTTACTGTGCTCAGGTAGCTGATGCAGAATACAGATACTAACTTTGCTTTTCTGCCACTGGCACTATAAAAGTTATCTAGAAGCCCTATCAGCCCAGGAACCCATCAGACCAAACCAGAAGTATTCCAGTGCCTCAGCTGAGTCAGTGCAAACCTCAGAGGTGTCATTTTTTCCAAACCTGATCCTGTTCATCAGCACATGCTACCTGGGTGCTGACCGCAACCCTGACCATCATTTCAGAACTCAGCCCTAACTCAGTCATGAGCTCTCAGGCAAATGGTCAGCTCTGAAGCAGACCCTTCCCAGATCACTTCCCAGAAATGCTTTTTGCTGTACAAGGCACGGCAGAAAAACATGCCCATGGGGGTGCACACATCCAGGGAAGCCAGTCACCTCACCTGGCACCCTGCTGAAGTCTTCTGTAATGCAGTTCCTGGAAAGGCTCACAGCTCCCTTGGGCTGCAGGTGAGCCTCCAGCCCGTTTTTGTCTCCCATTGCCTCATGTATGCAGATCTCGAAGCTGCCAGTAGGTGGTATAAAATATACAGACATTGCTTGCCAGGCCTCCTTTCCCATCCACTGAACAACATCTGTCTAATCTCTTACCCTGTTTTGCCTGTAGGTTCACATCGAGCATGCAGACTTGTGAAGCCTGGTCTCTATGTAGGTGGTGGTTTGCTGTAATTATGCAGCAGGACACATATCAGCCCACTGTGAGCACAAGATAATACAGAATTTGATTTTAATGTGGAATTCTCAAATAAAAGTTCTTTCAAAATATCCTTAGCTGAATTATTGCAATGCTAAGGTATGAAATATTTAGCTAATGCTTCATGAAAATCAGGCTTGGTGTAGTGTATTTCTTACAACATTGTTGTGGAATTGAAAAACTATGCAATGTGAATATTAAATTGTAACAGAAAGACATGATGCTGACAAAATTGAGGAACTGCATATGTGTCCTGACTTACTGTATGAAGGAAGCAGCAAGGTCCTTTTTTGCTTGAACCTTCAGTAAAGAGTGAGAAAACATATACGTTATACTGGACTCCACAGTTGTATGACCTTCTGAATCAGTTCTTGGTTATCAGCGTTTTGTGTTTATGCTCTAAATATTGCAAATATCACTTCCAGCGTTGTTCCTTCACCATTTCAGCAAACTTTCCTTACTGCTTTTAGAACAGTGGAAAACAAAAGGTGAGATATTTGAAATGGTGTACTACAGGCAAGGGTTAAAATGAGAAACACACAGCATTTTTATGGAAACTTCTTTCTCTGCTCAAAAGAGGGGGAAAATTAATCAATAGTAAATAAAAAATTAAGTAGTAAATGCTGACCACAAAAAAACCATTAATTATTTCACTGCATTTTAGTGAAAGAAAAAGCTGCTGAGGAGGTTCATCATGCATAATATCTTTCAATGAGTCCTGAGTCACAGTATGAAATGTGAAACATCTATTATTAGACCATTGAAGCATTGATATTTTTTTTCTGTCAGATAAATTTAAAAAGTTAAATAAAATATGGCTGTACAACAAATGGCACACCTAACTTGATTTCTAAAGTACTTCAAACAATTGGAAAAGAAACTGAGGCTCAGGGGTTTAGTAGCTGGTATATTCTCAATGTCAAGCACAGGACATTTCAACCCACAGATGCCTAATTAAAGGAGCAAGAAAAATAACTATAACCGGGAAATGTCCTGTAAAATTAATCTCTATGTTATAAATAAAGATGCACCAGAGGAAATCTGAGAAGAGGTCTTACCTTTCTGTCTAATGAGAAATAGATGGGAACTATAGAGAGAGAATTTTAGCTTTCCTATTTTGGGCAGCAATAAAACAAAAATATGTGACAGACTGCTTTTGTTTATGAGTTAAGGTGACACTGATCTGCAGCTGCGTTGCCACTTATGGGAGAAGGCATGTTCTTTGTTCCATGTGTGGAAAACAGTTATACAAGAATGACCTCTATTAATTAGATTTTCTGTGGCATAAATTCAATGTTCACCAGGTACCTGAATTTAATTCATGCTGATATGAACAGCCCCAACATGCAAAGTGAGAACCTTGGTGTGCAGTGTCACCAAACCAGAGTTCTCTGATTTTATCTAGTGAAAGTCTCTTTCATCTTGTATCAGACACAATATCCTGTGTATATCACTTTGATTTTAGCTAGTTGCTGTCATCAGAAAGCAGCGCTTTTTCTACAACAGAATTCCCTCGGCACATCAGACAAATTGGCTCACACAAAGCTACTTCATGTGAGTTTAACTGGATCAGTGTGGTACTGACATCTCTGTTTTCCCAGTGCATAAAACATTTTCCCGTTGACTGATATAATTCCTGTTCCTGATCTGCAACCATTCGTTAGTGTTTTGATTAGCCTAAATCTTTTTTTAGACTAGAACACTAGTTATACACACCTCTCCATGTGAGATTTGGACTCTTAAATGACTCAAATAATGGATTTTTTCAAAGGTCCTCTAGCCTTTCTAGTGCCATAGACATCTGCTATTTTCCCCCCACAGTTGAAGTAAAAGACACCACTACTAAACAAGACAGAAGGTTAATTCATGTGAACAGGTTCATAAAACAGCTCAGTAGCACTTGAGAAAATGAAATAAATTTAAGTTGAACTGTCACCATCTTTTGTAGCTCAGGCTTCAACAGATGAGGCTGCTTTTGCTTAGAGCTCTAGCCCAAAATAATTAGTGGGCCATGTTAATCTAAATGTTATGGTGAGTTGAATGTTGCTTTGCATAGAATTATTCTTTGCCTTTCATTCAAACCCTTTCAAGTATCCATAGTTGTTCTCACATTTGTGCTAGAAAATGAGTAATGCTTTCAGTTTTGAGCCATCTAAGCCTTTTTAAAATGCTGTATTTCACATAAAGTCATATTTTTAGATATTTTTATTTATTTTTGAAACAAAATCTTATTTTTCTGAGGAAAATTAACTTAAAACCTAGCATTTCTGATCAAAAGGAAAGGCATTTCTGATGTAAAGGAAGCTGCACTAGGATACATTTTTTTTATGCATGACCAGCTTTTTTGCTTATCAGAAAGGAGCACCAACAGCAAACAAGCAGGAGTCCAGAAATTACATTCACTAAAGCTAAGCACAACATAATGTTAATAGCTTCATATTCTATTCTGAATCAAAGGTCTTCAGTTTTCAGATGTTGTCTATGCTAGGCAAAATAAGCATGATCATAAAAGAAGTATGCTTACAGTATATATTGCGGTTGGTGTCAGAATTTAACATTATATATCTAATGTTTCCAGTATTTTGAACAAGAAGTTTTGCCATAAATGTTTTTAATCTGGCTGCTACTGCTTAGATGCTGACTATGAACACACACTTTGTTTATTTTGTGTAGTTCTTCCAACAAGTTGATGTGTGCCCTGTTACCTGAGTGAGAAGCTGCTTTAAGAAAGACAATTTCTGTTCTAAGACACTTTCTGTCTCTGTAGGACCTTTCCCAGTACTGCCTGGTATTGGTTACCTGCATAAAAAGCTTTCCATGTACATGTCCTTGCATTGCTGCATGGTGCTCAGCAGTCCCTGTGGTCTCTTTATCATTGTTAGTTTTTCCAAAGGACTCAGCAACAGAAAAACAGTATAGAAGTAAATCTTTGTCCTTTAATGTGACCCAGAGGTAACAAGACCGACTTTTCCCCCTATCTGGCTATGGGGATACTGCAGAGGGGATTTGCAACAGCGCTTACTGTAGCTTCCTGTTATTTATGGGTGTTCATTCCTGGTCATAATGTGCAGCAAAGCTGGGAAGCAAAAAAATTATTCATAAAGTGTCATGGATAGAATCTAGTAGCTTTTCACTACTGCTGGGACAAATATTGTGTGGGGTCAGCATCACAAGCGATCAGTGTCTCCTGTCCTTGGCAAACTGACAAGTGGTGCTCACCGGGAGCATCTCTGAACTTCCTATCCAAGACCAGGCAGACCAAATAAAGTGAGAGCCACTTCTGCCTGATGGACCTGCTCTATTACCTAGGCCATTGTCAAGGAGATTAGGTTTGCTAGTTGAGGATGAAAGAAGGTGATTTAAATAGACACTGGTAATGGAGAGATGCCATACACCTTTCCATTATTGTTTGAGGAAAAAATGCAGATAAATATATGTGTGCTTGCAGTTATTGGATGTGGAGGACTAAATAGAGCACATGAATACTGGAGACTCACAGATCAGTATGCTATGAATTCTATACTGAATCAGAGGGACTCCATCACTGTACCATTTCTCTACATTTTTAACTTAGCATTCACAAGACTGGGCATAGGAGGGATCTTTCAGCTCTAATGGGCTGAAAACATCATGCTGCTGCATCTGTTTCATGCTAGAATTTTTGTGATGGAAAATATTAATATAATAATTCACTCTGCTGTTTTCAGCAGTTTGTTCTTTCTCAGTGAATTGCATATGTGTGGTTTGAAGGTGTTAATTTTAGTTATTCCTAAACTCTCACAAGTTTCTATTTGTTTTCAGAACAAAGATCAAATATGTTTATACAGGTCAAATTAGCAATTTGATATGTGAAATTTTGCCTCAGCGTGATTTGCTATTAGGGCACAACAGACACATGAAGATGGAGAAAAAGTTTGTTTCTAAGTACTGAACCACACATTTTGGATTTGGACTATTTGGGAAAAACAGAACCACTGTGAAGCTCTTCTGGGTTGACTAAAAAAATTAAAAATATATCTAGTCTTCTCATGTAGTTATTATTCTGAAAATAATAGCAATATTTTGTCACTGCTATAGTGATTTTCATCTTGAATTAGCTTTAACAATTTTAAGTAATTAATTCCCATTACAACTATATGAAATTAATAACATCTTCTTTCTGTCACTGGGCAAAGTGAAGCCCAGGTCAAGCATTCCCCACTATCCCTGTCTTGTGTCCAGGCCACTCTGAGTTATCTCAGATTGCTGGCTGAAGTCATCCTTCCTTAAAGACCAAGGTGTTGTGAGATCGATACTAGATTATGTTCTTTGCTATTAGCCTGAGCAGCTTTTTCTGTTCCCAGAACTTACTAATGTACCACTGTATAGAGGTCATTCTTTTGCCGAACTGCTGAATAATCCAGTAGGGTGCAGGGCTGAGTTCCTGCTCCAGAAGCAGAGAGCCAAAAGTAAAAGTCACTTCTAGGATACAGCTGAGAAGACATTGTTCACTTTTGTCACCTCTACATCAAAACTGCTAGCAAATTTGAGAATAATAAGTGAGGAGCAACAAAAGGGAATAAAGGGCTGAGGAGACTGATGTAGGTAGTAAAAGAAAAGAAATAATACCATAAACACATTTTTTAGGTTTTCTGATTTAAAAAAGCTGGTTTTATTTTTTAAGGTGCATGTTGCAATGGCCACCAGATGCACTGGAAACAAGTTTCTGCAAATGTTGCTTTTCATTATTTCATTTTAACTCGAGTGACTTCAGCCAAGAAATAAAATCTAGGTCTTACTCATTGACACTGCAACAACTCACAGGTTTTTTCAGTAGTAGCTGAGCAGAAATCAAGAGAAGTTATGTTTGTGCTGCATGTTTAAAATTTGGGCCAATTTTTTTGTCTTATTAGAAATAAATATATTCGAAAATTATCCGTGCAAATAAGTATTGAAAGTCTATCCACATAATAGCCTGCAAGTATTTAGAAGGTATACACAAAGAAGTTATGGGATTATTAGAAATTATATCTTTTAGTTTGAGGTCATAATTTTCCCACATGCTTTAAAAAAAAAAAAAAAACAAAAAGAAAACCCCACATTACAAATGGAGAGAGAAGAATTTCAAGGCTAGAACCTACATTCATTGTTTACAGCTACTGTTCACATAGTTACCAACCTCATGTGATAGAAATTACCCAAGGCACTGCCATCTCTTTTGTCCTTGTGCTATCATTTTAGGTAGGAAATTGTCAAGTAGGACACTTGTGTAGATTATGTAATTTCGCCCCAGTCATAAATAGGACAAACACAGGAGTCCCTTTTAAAACACTCTTCATGATGACTTTTTCCATCTGTGTCATTCTATCTGGGGAGCTACCTGCTTTCATTGTTCACTGGGTTTGGTTTGTTTTTTTTTTTTGCTTTTTCTGCAAAATTTCTGTGTTTCTTCTTTGTGCCTCTTGAGATCTCTTAAATTTATATAGATTTACATTTGAATGAAATCTAGACCTCCGAAACAAAGGAGTACGCTTTATTATGAAAAACAATTTCCTTCCAGGGACCCCACCACTCTGCATCATCAGGTGTTGCATTGTCTTGGTGTTTTCGTTTTTCTTGCAAGAAGGGCTTTAATCCCTGAAGCAGAATCAAACCTACGGTGTCTAACGTGTCACGTCTCAGACAGGTTCACCTGACTCCTATTTGCCTCTCCTTTTTGCTTTGGCTGTCTGTGCATTTGCAGCGTGGCTTGATGCCCCCTGTCCTCCTGCCAGGACTTTGCCTGCTGCTCTGGGCAGGGAGCAGCGGGGAAGACACAGCCTGAGCTGCAGCTGGAGGTAGGAAGGACCCCCAGGATGGCACATGCTCCAGCTGCTGCAGCTCCCCCTGTCATCCCACAGCTCGGGATCTAACCCAATGCACGTTTCGTGCACACTGGGAGAAAATAAGTTTGCATTTTGAAGCAAAAATTCTACCTCTCTCACAAAGTCCAGCCTACTTGGCCTTGCAGTTACTCCTGTCTGTTTCTCACAGGTAAATAGCTACCACTCCACTTAAACACTGTGTCTCAGCGAAGCCTTTCAGTATTTTGCCCACAGGTGATTCTTCTCTCTCTTTGCAGGGATACGTAGTTGATGAACGTGCAGCCATGCAAGCTCGATGGGAAGAGGCATCTAAAGAAACAATCAAGAAGACAACCAAGCCATGCCCCAGCTGCAATATTCCAGTAGAAAAAAATGGTAAATTTATTAGATATCTCATACTTAACTGTCTTTTAAAGTTCATTTTACAGTATAAATATATGAATGTGCATAATAATACACTATTATTCCAAGAGAGGGAGAGCACATAGGGCTTGAATCTTCCCTCTGTCACTTTATCTCAATTATCCTGAAATCATTAAATCTAAGTCACTTAGTTCTAAAGCCACTAACTAAGCCTCACAAAATGCCCGGTTATTTTATAGACAGGGAAAATGAGGCACAGGGAGTCACTGGATGTAGTGTTCATATGACTGAACATCCAGCTAGTTGTCTAGATTTTCCATCGTCACTGGAAAAAACACATTTGTAAGGCAAAACTCCTCTCACAATGAAACAGAACATGTGCCTAATGTAGGCCAGAAGAAGCACACCTAAAAGTGGAGTGTGGAGAATTAGTCCTGCTGTAGATGTCTACACAGTATGTAGCTGAATTTAGATGAGATTAATCTCAGCCCAGTGACACGTCCACAGGAGATGAGCAAGTCAGAGGAAGAAACATTAGTACTGACAAACTGGTTGCACTAATCAATGCTTACCGTGTAGGAAGAAAAGCAACCTGCTGGTACTGGGGTGGTTAAATGGGGAACAAGAATAGCAAACAGGCTATACTCTATAGGTTCATACTGTTCCAAGATTTAGTTATATTTATATTAATTAATCAAAATATATTAAAATTATTGCCAAAATATTATGCAAATATTAAGTGTAGAGGATGCTTCTCAGTTTTGTGGCATCACTTATTAAAACGGGACACTGAAAACACTAAAAAAGACACTGTAGGCTGCAAGGAGATAACATTTCAAGCAGTGACACCACAGAAATATTACTGGGGAAGAAATAGGACAATATCCTGAAATCTGGGCCTTGGTGAAAGAAAAGAAGGCAGTTGGCAGATGGAAAGTGGGAGACTTCTTCAAGCACAAGAAGCAGAATGAAAGAAAGCATGAATTCAAGAGTGGGAAGGTGAGACAAGATTTGGCAAAGTGTAGAGAGCAAGGTGGGCAGCAGAAGAGAGATAACAGAGGGGTAGGTAAAAAAAAATTATTTACAGACTTGTAAAACAGACTGGAAAACAGAAGTTTGAACTGGATTAGAAACAGACAAATAATAATTGTGACTGTTCGTACCTAACAGTTCGTGCACAGCCAAATAAATAATATTTCTGGTCAGGCTGGAAGCAGTGTTAGGACCTTTACTTTCTCTTAGACTCTGCTACAAAATCTTTACTGGTAAATTACAGGCAGTTGTCACAAATAGGATATCCCTATTTGACACCATGATATAATTTACACAACTCCTACTAAAGTTTAGGGAAGTTGCTTATAAAAATTCCTAAAAAGGAAATAAAGGCCATTATACTTTTTATCCTTGAAAGAAAATATTTACTGAAAATGGATAATAAGCAGGAAAAGCCCTTTCCTTGCTTATAGCCTGACCCATGTCAGAACAGTGCCTCATAATGCAAAATGCCCAAGCCACAGCAGCAGGCTGGAGATGTTTCAACAAACTGGAATTGACTGATTGTGCTGCCATTCAGAGGGACCTCGACAGGCTGGGAAATGGGCCAGAAGAATCACACCTAAAAGTGGGGTGTGGAGAATTAGTCCTGCTAATTCTCAAGAAGAATTGAGAGGAAACCTCATGAAGTTTAACAAAGGGAAATGCACCAGTACAGGTGGGGGGCCAACTGGATGGAAAGGACTTAAGCGTCCTGGTGGACTACAAGTTAGACATGAGCCAACAATGTGCCCTTGCAGCAAAGGTGGCCAACAGCATCCTGGGCTGCATTAGGAAGAGCATTGAGGAAGTGGTGCTGAGACACACCTAGAGTGGTGAGTCCAGTTCTGGGCTTCCCTGTACATGGACTGGAGCGAGTCAATTGAAGGGCTGCAAAGATGATAAAAGGAATGAATAAATAAATACCTGATGGGGCAACAAAGAAGACAGAGCCAAACTCTTCTCAGTGGTGCCCACTGAAAGCACAGAAGGCAATGGGCACAAACTGAAACACAGGAAATTCCACTTAAACATGAGAAAATGCTTTTTATCATGTGGGTGATTGAAAACTGGAACCTGTTGCCCAGAAAGACTCTCCATTCTAGGACACATTCAAAACCCAACTGGATGCAACCCTGAGCACTTTGCTTTAGTTGACCCTGCTTTGAGCAGTGGAGTTTTGACTGGATGATCTCTAGAGGTAACCTTCCCACCTCAGCAATTCTGTGATTCTGCAAATTACGGCATGAAGCTTAAAAAGTGCAGAGCTTGCTTTCTTCTCTAGTCATGGGTACTACACGTGCTAGCATCTGGGCTGACATTTGTAAACTGAAAGGAGCACTTCACTTCTGCCTAAGTACAGCTGGTGTCAAGAGGCTGACAACCACACACCAAAGTCTGCCAACAGTCCTCATTTTGGAGGAGTACACTGACTCCACACAAGAGAATAATTCTGCCTTCCCTCCCCAAATGCTTCTGTGGACACTGTCTTTTACAAGGGACAGTGGCAATGCTGATAACTTTTCTGTAATAGCCTATATTTCTCTAGGTCAATAAGTTTTCTAGAATAGCCTGTATAGCTATAGGCATTGTAGAATACTTCTGCATGCCAATAACTTTTCTGTAATAGCCGAAGTGAAAGAGCAAAATGCTTTCCCACAGCTCATTTCCCAGTCTGAGTGAGTTTAAACACGCATCCACATCTCTCAGAGGACTGCTGTAGTCACAGAGCTGTAGGCCATGTTGCTTGAGGCACTCTCCACTCTGACTGCTCTTCTCAGCTGCCATGTAGCAGAGAATGGCATGATTTATGTAGCTTAGCAGGTAGAGCACACATGTGACAAAGGCTGCCTAATTGGGGTTTGGGTCCTGCGCCAGGACTGAGATGCAGTTTAGCTGGTGATGGCTTAATACAAATTCTAAGAGAGGATTGGACCTAAACCTTAAGTGTAACATGGAGGCTGGCCATTGATACACTTACATTGAAATAAGATGGAAAGGTCTGTCCAATTGCATCTCTTACATGAAGACATAAACTGATGAATAGACCTTGCCATCACAGCTAGTTTTCTCTCTCTGTCAGATAAAGCAGACAGGCCTATTTTATCAAACTAGTTCTTGGGTCTCCTGCTGCTTTTACCTTCTGAGTATCATTCTGGAGTGGCATTTCTAAAAAAGGTGTTGTAAGGGTAGGAGATCATACAGTAGGGAACACACACTCCCTGTACCTCCTATCACCATCTGGAGTCAAACCAAGATGACATTACAGCATTTCTGCATACCCCATGCTTTTCTTTCAGTTTGAATCATACAAGAGATCTCTTTGTGTTTTAATTTCCGTTTGAGGTGTATTTCTGTAATGACCTTTGACAAAGGTAATGTTTAATATATTACAAAATAAACATTTGATCAAGGTTGTGAGCAGAGAGATTAAAGCTGCTCTCACAGTATGGGCAAGTAAGAAACCCAGCACACAGGAAATATTGATGCGATCAAAAGGCTGCTTCAGATACTAAGAAGGTCAAATCAACTTCAGTTACTAATGCCATTTTGATATAATCAGCAGTCAGCCACCAAAGTCTGTATATCCTGATTTATTCTCTTTGCAAATCTCTCAGTTGTTGAAACCAAATTTAAAAAAAAATAATTGAATTTTGTTCATCTTCTGACTCACAACTGAATTAGGGTAGAGTATCCTGGAGCATACACCTCCATGACTGCTTTGAGAGGCCTCAGGTTGTCTTCTTTTTTCCCTGTCTCTAGCACAGTCTCTCCTAATTTCCTCCTACTCCTGCAGTTCCTCAAGTGACACCAGCATGTTACACCTCAATAAGAGAGGGTTTTAGAAAGCCCAGGGAAAATATTCTTCAGATTTGTACTTCTCTTTTATTAAATATTCTACTTGGTTAGTAAATGAATGTCTAAGAAAGTTGATTTTAACACTGTTAATTGTTGATGAACATCTTTAAGTGTTTGCCAAGCACTCTGTTCTCTTGCTATTTTGCAGGTGGCTGCATGCACATGAAATGCCCTCGCCCTCAGTGTAGATTTGAGTGGTGCTGGAACTGTGGCCTGGAGTGGAACAGAACCTGCATGGGAGATCACTGGTTTGATTAGTGGTGCTGAGGCCAGCCCATGTTGCTGCTAAAGCTTGTTTTCATCAGAGCCAAATTCTGTACTCCTTGCTTAAACAAAACTCCCAGTGGTTTCAGGGACACAGAGTGTAGAAGTTGGCCCAGTTTGTTGGTTTTTGCTTACTCGCATATGCAATCATACCAAAATCACACTGAAGTTATGCCAAGGGTTTTAAATCCACTAAGTAAAAAGAGTAATTGTTTTAATGAACAGACTTGCTCATCATGGTACAAAGAGGGGTAAATTAGACCATTCTGAACTTTTGCAGTCTGTCAGCATGGAGAGCAGATGGGGTCACCATGAGGAACTTTGCTTGACATTTATAGTCAGGAATCTGCAACTCTTGCAAGAGAGAGCAGCCTGCATATGTTTGTGTGAGTGCATGAGCACCAAGGGGGTGGAGGATGTTCCCTGCATCAGCTGCTTTTTCTTTGACCACTCCTTTGCTCATTCAGCACAGTTTCTGATTTTGAGGCAGTATTTCTTCACAGCTTTTTTTGGCAGAGGAAAGACTGTGGCTCTTCAGTGTTTTCTCAGGGTTCCTTCCTCACAGTCTTTCTGTAGGGGTCTTGCTTTCAAACCAAATTCTGATAGAAACATCCAGCTTTATGCCATATTTGATTTGTGTTTGTATTTGTAACACACAACACCAAACCTGCCTGCTTACTCATTGTTACCACTGGAAGATTAACTAAGGATGCAGTTTCAGCTCTAACCATGACTGCTGTTGCAGTGGTGACTGGATCTGATTAAGTGTTGTGCAAACTAGACTCACAGGGCTTCATTTTTCTTGTGCTTACAGCAATACTTTGGACATGGCAAAGGGAGGCAAGAGGAGACTTCTCAGGGGTTTTCTGTATCATAATTCTCCTAAATTGAATGAGAACATGAGTATATTTCTGAAAATATACTCACCACTCAAACAGTGTGGGGCAGAGAGACATCTGTCATTTTACAATATTAACACAGTAAGTAAAGCTTACTAGCACTTCCAAGCCTGAACAATCTTACTCTTTGGTGTGCTTTACATTGCTGTCTTATTCTGAAATGAAATGCGTACTGTCTGCATCCAACGTGCCATGTAAGTGTTTGCACAATTCAGTTTTGGAAAAAAACGCACAATAAACAAAGTGATCAAAATTTTAAACTTTCTTTTTTCATTTGAATACAAAGTAAGTGAGTACAAAGATGTTGGGTGGGTCATGCATTTCCTTGACTGATTGAAACTCCCAGTGGAGAAACTAGCCCTTTGATTCAAACATATTGTTAGCACAAAACAAATTTCAGGGACATGGACTTCTTTTATCAAGTCTGAATTAATATTTTGTATGACATGACTGTAGAGTCCTGAAAATATGGGTGTGCCTTGTATCAGTCTGTGCAGAACAAGAAGCTTAAAGTAAAAAGAAATCCCAGACTCGCCAAAAATGTCCAGTTGCTAAAAGCAGTGGAGTATTCATCTGTCTCAGCTGGAAGTGCCATTAAAAGTCTGAGGAAACAAAGGGATGAGGCACCAAAAATGAGAGAGTGAACTGGTAGAATTAAGAAAATGAGAGAGAAAGGAAGTGGCAATGACAGGACAGTGGCCATTTCTTAAAGGCCATTTCCCTTATTGGGACTGGTGAACTAAAATGTATGCAGAGGTAGCTACATTAAAGTGTAGGGGTGCAACAGAGTGCAGCGATGTAGCTCACAGAACCACAGAATGTCAGGGATTGGAA